GTTTGGAGGTATACACAGCAAAGGACAGAGTAGTCATAAATTAAGATAATATTACGCCACTTGCCGCTAAACAAACGCCTGTCAATATTTGTGCATTACATGTCCTGCTGCTCCTTCGGCATGGAAATCATATTAGGCCAATAATAAATTGGCCTCAAACTCAAAATTAAACTAATAATAATTGCTAAAGTACATCAGCAGACAAGTTGACAAAGCTGCAGGGCCTCATCTGAGCGTGTGAGCGTGTGTCCGTGGAGAGCTTTCTCTCAAATTTATGATTTCGTTTATAGGCGTTTATAGGGCACTCACCAATACACACACGCATACGCTCACGGCTACAAGTTTGAGTATTATTTACTGGCACACAAGCCGAAGGCGAAAATGTGCCACAAAATTGCTCCTCGGCCTAGCGTTAATTCAATTTTATTACGCATACGCAGCGTGTGCGACCCAGAATGACATGAAGTAAGTTGAATTCAAGTGTACTCTTAAGTCCGGCTTTTTGCCGGTGTGTAAATCTGCATTGCGGCAGCTTTAATTGTGCATGTCTGGCAAGTGTGTAGACACAAACACGTAGATTCTGAACACGCCCCCCAAACAAACACACGCACACATACACACGTCATACTGCAGTAATTAATTAGTGTACTCTTGATTGCTTACATATTGATTGTGCACTTCAGGTGCATCTTACACAATAACGCGCACTTTATCTAAGCTTTATAAATTATTTTAACTAACTGTGTATTTAAGTTTGAATCTGTTTTGGTCAACAGTAAGAGGCCTTAACTGTAAATTAATTAATGTGCACGTAATTATATGCATTTACGTACATAAAATTCTACTAACATGATTTTTGTTGATTAACCTTTTTGAAATAAAACACTTGTATCTAAAATAGATACCACTTATATTGTATAAATATTTTTTTCTGATTCTTAAATTGAATAAAAATATTATTTAGTGGAAGTTTCATATACAGGGGAGAGAACTAGACTAAGGAACAATTATTTCGAAAATACCCCTATAATTTTTTTTTATATGCTCAATTTCAATTTCAACTTTTTCAAAGTCTTGGCCTGGATGAGCTTCAGAACAAAAAGCAGCTTCAGTTTCAGCATCAGATTTTTTTCAGCATCAATTTTTTTAAATTATATTTTTATATAAATTTCTTAACCTTAAAGAGATTTATCACCATAATGGACTATTGGGAACTATTCAAAAGATGTTGATTACAATTGCACTTTATATTTGAAATTTGTTTTTAGTCTTGCTTTAGTTTATTGGATTCTTTTCTCTATTGAGCTCATTGCACACCTCTGAAAATGCGCGCATCTACTTTTGGGTTTTTAATATTTTACAAGCGCTTTTATAGGCCGGTTGGGTTGCTGCCGTTGTGCTTTGTGAAATTGCTTTTCCCGGATATTGTTGTTAGTTTTTACTTTTGAGTTTGCTTTTTGTATGCATTTTGTGGGTCTTTTGTTTTACACGGCCTGCATTCAGATTGCTTTCGTTGTTGTTATTCGTGCTGCTGTTGTTATTGTTGATGGTGCTCGGCTGCTACCGTGTCCTATTTGTATCCTGTCGGCTGCGGCACCTCTCACACATTTATGTCTATTGGCGCGCGTCCATTTCCATTTCATTTCCGTTATTGCAAAACTTTTCGTATTAAATATATTTTTCTCTCTGTTCTGTTTCGCATGCCGCGTGCTGCGATTGTTTCATTTCGATTGTTGTTGGCGTTTGTTGTTGGTGGTTTTTGCACTTTTGCAAAGTTGTTTGTTGCTATTATTTCTGGTACTTTATTCGCCCGTTGCCATTATTGCAGTTGTTTCCTTTATTGCACTAGCAAGCATAAAAATGTTTGCATTTGCATATAAATGTAAATATATATATACATATGTACACACTTCAAGCACTCGCCCCTTTTAATGTGGCCTACTTAAGAATGACTGGGCGGGGCGGCTTGGTTCTGCAGTACCTTTCAAATTGACATGCAATTTGTTATAATTGCCAGTCCCGAGTGCGAAACAGCGTCCTAACAACTCGCCCATTATCCACTGAAGCGACTCGGCCAAAAACCTGACCCTGATTAGGCAGCCAGCAGACGTTGTTGCTGCAATTAGCATGTTGCGCTGCCATAAATAAAATTAACCACAATGCTACAAATAACATGGTCAACAATGTTGCCCCGGATAACTACAGCTTCCACCGTCAAGAGTGCCACAATTATTCTATACACTCACTGGCAATAAGTTGTGCGAAATCCTTGGTAAATTTAAATCGCTTTTGACAGGAAAAATTTAATCGAAAATAATTGGACTGAACAAAAACGAAAATAGATTAATTCTTTTAAAAACTAACTACTAACTGATATTTGATTATATTTTTGTTTTCTTTTAATAGTATCTAAGAGCCACAATTTAAATTCTTATCGATAAGATTTTTATTTACGACATATTTTATGTCCTGCTAACTCAAACAAAAATAAATAGCTGCTGAAAAGTATATATCCTTGTATAGTTGATATCAATTATCGGATAAGCACAATTCAAATTTGTGAGTACCATAATAACTTCATTTTTTTCTGCGTTTCGGTTAGCTTCTGCGCAAATTAAACAAATGTTTTTGCATATTTTATGACCCAGCTGCACAATTCGTAGCTGACCGCAGAATTTAGCGCATTTAAATTAATGATACGAAATGTCAGCAAAATGCTGAACCGCAAATCATGCGACACATTTCACTTTTTTTTAAATATTGCATTTGAAAGTGTTGGTAATTTCTATTATATTAAATTGCATGGGTATTTGTTTTTTGATTTTGCTAAAATTTATAATTTTACTTAAGGCTCAGGAATTGTTTGAACATGAATTGTCATATCATTGGAGAATTGATTAGGAAAGTACTGCGTCCTTGAACCAAAAGGACATGCGATCTTCGCGGCATCTCTTCAAGGGTTCTGTGTTTGTATACATGCGAATCAGAGAGTGGAAACGATTGTGCTTAAACTGATTTCCAGCTTTAAGGCGTTCACTAAGTTCGGCTGCCTTTTTGGCCAGAGTCTTTGAAGTCGCCATAGACTGTTCCAGTTCTTTTTTCACTGTCTCAGCAACTTCTGTCAGCGAGGGCTCGGTCGCGGTTTTCGGCTGTGATTTATCTTCAACCTTATTTCCGTCGCTTTGAGAGACATAATCCCCCGCGTGGGCAGCCGTCGAGTGGTGAGATACTGTATCTGCCTGATGGCCACTCGCTTTAGACTTGACTGAAATTCGGGAAATATTATCTGCTCGGTGGTCGCCAGCTTTGGATGGGTGTTCACTAGTCTTGGACTTAACAGAAACTCGGGAAATATTATCTGCCCGCTGATCATTGGTCTTGGACAGTACGGAAGCACGGGAAACTGTATCAGCGCGGTAGTCACTCCCCTTAAACTGGTCAGTAACACGGGAAACATTATCTGCATGAGCTTTACTTGCTTTAGACCTTAATGAGATCTTGTCAGCTTGCAATTTTTCTGCCTGAGACTTAATAGAGACACGAGAAATTGCATCCTTTGCATGACCTCCTGCATCTGCTCTTCGGCTACTGCGCGACACATTGTCCGAGTCTTTTGCATTCGATCCCTTGCTCGCAGTTATATTTAAAGATCCTTTTAACTGTTTTAATTCAGTATTAGGCACAAGTGTTTTATTGCTATCATACGAGTTCGCACTCATCTTGCTAGCAGTTTTAGCGGGAGTCTGGCTAACATGCGACTTGGCTGTGCTCTGCTGAGAGTTAAGACTCTTTTTGGAGGTCGCCCTTAAAGCGATGCTTAAACGGGACATGCTACTTGATGGCGACGAGGCGCGGCGTTCCCTGACGGGCATCAACGTTGTCACGGACTTTCCCTTAGGGTCGGTATTTGACAGACTCGTTTTGGACTGGCCGCCCGCATCGATGCGCCTCTCATCAGCGGCAAGCTGTTTTGAAGCGGCCATCTCTTCATTAATGGCTTTCGAAATAGCCACTTCACCCCTTTGCGATTGCTCGTTATGCATAGCAGCTGCCGCCTGCTTGACAAACGTACACTGCGAGACCGATCTATTGGTGGGCACTTTTGGTGGCGGCCAAGTAGCAAACACAGGTGGCGGATACGTTGGACTGCTTGGCATCTTGTACTCATAACGTTCCCCACTTCCGGCTGGTCCAATGCTGAACGGGTTAAAAAGTTCACCTTCATCATCAACAAACATGTTGGCTGCTTATTCAATTAATGAACTGCGATTGGTTAATTTTTTTCCTCTGCTTGGCACAAGCAAGTCCAGCAACAATGCACAGAAGAGTGCGTGAGTGTGAGTTGTGCTTCTAGGTGTTTCAACGCCAATATTATATTATTAAATAATTCACTTAATATTCAGTACATTTTTTTTTCAATAATCTAAACAAATACTCTAAACTGACCGAATTTAAATTTTTGAAGAAACTAAGTGAAAGCAGGCACAGCTCAGTATATTATCAAAGCGATCGCAGGGCAACATTTATATAAGAAATACTCTTTGAATGGCATACTCTACATGGATTGCTTGACTGCAAAATATGATTTCAAATATATAATATAGTGTGTATATTGTAGGTTCGATCAGTGGTTTGTGCCCATAACCAATGTCTTGAAATGACCTCATAGTCCAATGTAAATCAACTTGAAAATTTCAAATTTCAGCCATGAAAATGGTATTGAAATACACATAAATTTATATTTCAAATATTATTCGAAAAATATCAAGAACAATGCAGCATCAAGAATGAAAATGTAATGTTTTGATAGACCGAAGACGAACAGACAGGCGGATATGGCGTGATGCTCCTGTTTAAGAATATATCTACTTTCTGAGGTCGGAACTGACTGCTTTTGCTATATTTAATGGGCTCTTGCCATGGGCATTCAAACACATACGACGCAAGTCGATCAACTAATGGACTTCTATCATATGATAAAAGAAAAACAAAGTATAGTGTGTATAATCTAGAAAGCATAAATGCCCTTTACACATTAGGAATGATACAGAGACAGGCAACTTCGACCCCACAAAGCTTATATATTCTTGATCAGGTTGACCTAAGTCGTGTCAACCATGTCCGGCTGTAAGTTTTTTTTTTTCATTACTTTTTATTATGAAACCCTTACTAGGCACAAGATTTCGTGGCATCAGTAAATGCAGAAAATATTTAGGCAAGCACATCATCCTGAAATATATGTGATTCTCGATCTTTGGACTACCTTTTCCGGGGACTCGCTGCCGGTTCTCAGCCGTTTGCTCAACTCGGACGCCTTAGCGGCCAGGGCCTTGGATATCTTCACCGTCTGGGCTAGCTCCTTTCTTATTGAATCGGCCACATCCCTCAGTGAAGGTGTGATTTTGTTAATGTTGCTTGATGTGTTTGACGCATTGATTTTAGTTTCTTGAATATTTGATTGGCTGACATCTTTCGCACTGGATATTCTAGAAGCAATCGATTTTTTATCTGCATTGCCACCTGCGTGAGCTCGTTTCTTCGCATTGGAGCAGGATATTCTATCTTTGCTTGTTTGAGACCTGACAGAGCTCGCCTGGAGGAACTCACTTGATTTCTCCGCTAATCGATGGTGCCTCACGGGCGTTACTGTCATCATAGACTTCTGCGCTGCTGACCAAAACGAAGCGCGAGATCTTTTGTGCCTGACACCGAAACGATAGCGCTTTTCAGCAGGTACTGGCCGCTTGGAAGCGGTCATCTCCTCGTTTATGGCCTTAGATATCTCCACTTCTCCCATCAGCGATGGATCAGTTTTGAAACTATAAGACCCGTCAGTCAATTCCCGCTTGACAACCGTGCTTTGCGACACTGATTTGTGCGTACATTTCTTTGGTGGCGGCCATGAGGCAAACACTGGGGGTGGATATGATGGCGTGTTGGGTACGTCGTAATCCAGGCGCTTACAGTCGTTTGGACCAATGTTGAACGGATCGAAGGGCATACCCTCATCATCAAAAAACATTTTGGATATTCTTGAAATTTTTCTCCTCAAGCAACTAAGGATGATTAAAGTGATTTTATATTCGATGTGCACAATGTCCAGGCAAATATGCAGGAGAACAAGCCTTTTATTCTGCGTATGTTTAGTGCCAGAAATATATGTCTATTAATTATGTGAATTTTTATCGTCCTGGATTTCGATAAAAACTCAATAAGGTACGCAACTGAAGATTTTAAATAAACTGAATGAAAACAGGCTCTGTCAAGTTCGACTTCCAATTTTTAAGCAACATGTTTTCCATGGCATACTATGGAACGAATGACTCGGTATATTTCCATATTTATTAAAATTGAATATAACGACTGTGTGACTTTTATATATTACATGCTCATAAATATTTAAGACTGGTAATCTGAACGAAAAAAAACAGTCCATTCTAAATGTGTACACATTTGTCGTCCCTTTGCCGGGAAATGTATGGACATTTTTTTTAGTGCCAATTAAATTCTGGCGTGGAATGAAAAGGAGTATGTATGTTTGTTTTTGGAAATTGTTTTATTTTTTGGCTGCAATTCAAAACTGCACAAGTTTTTGGAGCGTTTCAAAATCAGTTGACATCAGTTAGGCACCAGTTAACGACCAAATGTCCAAGGACTACATCGTTAAGTGAAGAGAAATACGATCGCCGTGAGACTTTTTCCAGATAATGTAAACGTTTCGACTATTTCAAAGCACTAATGCGTTTGCTTAACTCGGTGGCTTTGGCGGCCAGCGACTTTGATGTCTTTACCGACTGGGCCAACTGCTTTCTAATGGAATCAGCGACTTCCTTCAGCGACGGTGTGACCCTGCTAACGTGGCTTGAGGCACTGGCAAGACTCCTTCTGGTACTTGTTCGGGAGACAGAATTCGGAAATACTTCCATTGAGGCAATGGAATTATTATGAGGTCGCTTGATCAATTTGGTCTTAACTATACGGGCTCGGGAAATTTGTGAATTACGGGAGACCCTGTTAAACGGATGTCCTTCTGCCTGGGTCTTTAACGCACGTGATGATCTACTTGCGAAATTACCACCTCCATTTACTCTTAGCGTTGTACTTGATTTTGTGCGCTTGCTGGTTGAACTGAATCTGATTGCCTGATTAAGCGGCTTACTGACTGAACTTGTCTGGGAGCACACGTTGCCCATGAAATTTGCAACTGGAGCTTTAGATATTTGGGAGAGTTCGCTTAACGTTGGCTTGAATATGCCGGTGGGAGCCATTACAGTTTTTAGATGCTTCAAAGGCATGGTTCGTGCCTTCGGTAGTGTCTTGGACCTGCCACCCGCAGTACAGCGCTTGGAAACTGTCATCTCCTGGTTGATGGCTCTCGAAATTGATACTTGGCCCTCTTTGACAGACTTCTGTATGGACGGATTAATTTTCTTTTGTTGGACATTTGAGAGACGACCACCGTGTAGCGGATTAAAGGAGTCTCTATTATCAGTCATATTGGCTGCTTTAGAATTCAGATTGACTGGCTAGAATTTTGACTCTTACGGTAATTTTCTTTGTTTACTTACAATCTTGTCCGGGGACTGAGCTACACAAGACTGACTCGGCAGCTAACCTTTTCTGCGTAAATATATTGCCAAAATATTTTCGAGTTTCTTTAACTTTAACGAAATTTCATTTCCCTGGAATTTTGACAAAAGACTCTTCACTGCGTCAAAACTGAAACCAAACTGAAAAATTCAATATAAAATAAGTTTAAAATTAACAATATAACATTTTATACATGGAATACTATACACTTACATATTCGTACCCAACATATTGAATAAACATTGCTGGTTCATTTAAGAATTATTATTATTAACATCTCTTCGACAAGAAAGGATAGCATAGGATAATAAACACATTTGTTTCGAATAAATTAAATTAATCAATGCATCATTTGTTTATTTTCTGTCAAATCTGCCCTCTCTCATATAACCTCCTTTTGTTTGTGAACATTTTGTATATGAGCCTAGCTACGTACATTCCGAGAGACTGCCTCATACTTCAAGCACAAGCTGAGGAATATTTTAATTAAAAGGCCTAAACGCCACGCAATGTACCCCACATATTGTTATCAATGTTGCAGAACCTTCGAGTGTACGTGCTGATAAGGCAGTTGCCAAACAAAAGGCTGCCTCCGTCTGGTTGATAGAAGCTTTTGCCAATTTACATACTGCATAGGGACAAATTATTGTGTACTTGCACTGGGTGTATGGGTGTGTTATTTGGTGTTTCATCTTTTCCAAGTGTTAGTCAACTTTGTAAAAGTAATAGACAGGCAGATTGTTTTATGACATTTCCCCTATAATTTCGAAATTATAAGCCAGTCGTTAAATATTCAGAAAGCAGCTGCCATATGCAGGGTTTGATTTTATTCGAATGCTAAATCACTTGGTGTACATAAGATTCGGCTTTAATTAACCAAACATGGCTAGATACCAAAGACGCTGTCCAACAGAGTGCGTTCGGCAAGCATCGGGCGGAAGCATTGGCATTGGCACTTACGGCACCGGCCCCGTTTTTGACGGCAACACATATCCGGTTATGGTTGGTGAAGTGCCAATGCGGCCGCCTGCAGCTAGCAAGACGCGACAGAAGCCCGTTCCGGGCATACCTCAAAGGTGCAGCACCAGAGCAACTTTAAGGCGACAACAGCAGATGCAGCGAGAATCACAAAGGCAACCGACAGCTCAACTGCTTCAGTCTCATCCACAGTCCCAGAGACAGTCCCAGTCCCACTCCCACTCCCAGTCACAGCCAGAGCCACAGCCACATCTGTCAACGCTGCAAGAGCAAGTGAAACAGCTACAGCTACAGCTGCAGCAACAACAGCTCCAGCTACAGCATGAGCAGATGCGGCAGCTCTACGGAGGCTGGCCGCTGGGTGGCATTGCTCAGGCCAATGCAAATGCCTTGGGCAATAACATGAACATTTTCAATCCATTGGCGCCATCCTTTAATTTGGGTCCAACGTTGCCTTCAAACTGCTCCGATTTCTGGCCCGGATACACTATGGTCACACCCGGAGATCCCAGCAGACCATACTCATTCGGCCTGAGCCCCACAGACTAGTTAAAATTTATTGTAGTTAAATCCAAAGTCGATTTAGTGATTATTTATTGCTCAAATATAAGTTACTCTCAACAAAACAGTTCAGGTCTTGGGCTTTTCACAGTTGGCTCAATATTATACACATCTGTATGCATCTAATTCGGACAGGCAGAATGCATTTCATTCTACTCACATAGAGCTGGGCGGCTGCAGCAGAGGCTTTGCAACGTCTAAGAACCCCTTCAAGCTCTAACACTTTTTCAGGTTTTGTAAGAAGATATTTACATTTTTAACTATCTTAAATAGCTGTCAATTGGTATATTTAAATTCAAATGCAATAAAGAACGACACTTCATTGTTTATGAATACCTCGGGCACAATCACCTGGACTTGGTTGGGGTTTTGTTGATACATTTTTTATGCACTAAAGACGTCTTCTGCATACACCTTTTGGCTCTGCTTCGAACAAACTTCGCCATAATTTGAAGTAACCTGTCCGTCTTGCGCTTTACACATCATCGAGTTGGGCTATGCTTGGGCTTGGGGCGTGGGACGGCAGCCAGAGTGTCGTTTAGTGGTAAATATCCGCCTTAGTTGGCAACGAATGTCATACGTGACATTTTTCGAATTCCGTTTTTAGCATGCCGTAATCGGGCCATATACGTGTGTGTTCCCAGAAACTGAGTAGGATAGAACGGGATGTTATCTTAATGCTGCTTGCTGTCGTGTACCTGTCTTCCAGTGGTTTTTCCTTCTGGCCACGGCTGCCTTTCCTGGGTCTGACGGTGCCCTTTCCATTGCTTTTTTTTTCTAATTATTTCCTGTCTGCGCCGGGTTGCGTTACTTTTAATATGTAAGGACTCGTCTAGCGTTTTGACAAGACTATTAAAACAGTTGCGGTTTCGCAGACGTTTAATTACTCTGCAGACTTTTATTTTTATGAAATCAAAGGTATTTGAGCCGTGTGATGAATCACAATTTCAAGAACGCCAAGCCGCAGGCCGCAGGACTTAATTTCTTGAAGGATACTGTTAAACTTATTGAACATATTTTCTTTACCTTTTGGCCACCACCTCAATTTGGTCAATTTGGCATATAAATCTGGCAACATAAGTCTTGATCAAAATTCATGTTAGGAATTAAAAAATATTAATATCGACATAAAATTATGTAGGGCGCTCACTATTTTAAATTACACTCCCAAAGCTGCGAATTTTTCATAAGCACAGATTAATTAATTATTCAGAGTCTGTCTGATATCTTGTGCATTTTGTTCTGATGTCACTATAATTCCTGGCGTTGTCAAGTGTTCTACTTAAAAGGACTCAAAGCGCAAGTTGAAATGACGGCTCAAAGGACGCCTCGTACACAAGCAACTTTCCCTAATGATGATCCCTAAAGTCAACTTGGCAAGAGCTCACCAGCACACACACACAGACGCGCTTATACACACGGGCACTGCGCTCATAAGCACACAATGGTATTAACGCCATAATTCGTAAGTTACAACATACATACAAACACACACACAAAGTCTCACACACACGCGCCGCAAAAGGATTAAGTTATATTAAAGTTGTGAACGTTGCATTTTAACTAAGTTTTGTGCGCTGCGGGGGCATTGGCTATGGCAGTGGCTGGTTTTGTGCCTTTGACACTTTCGGCTTATGGTAAATGTAAAATAGCGTCAATAAATGCGTTGCATCTAACTTGGTAGCACTGAAAGAGTATGCTATGCAAATTTTAATGCAGCTGACCCACATCATAATAGTTGCTATAATAATAATAATATTTGCCAAACAGTCAAAAGCGTTATGCATAAATGCAAAAAATTTGCAAAAATTTATACACTGGCAGGGAATTCGAGCAGGAGCCTTCGAGCCGGACGCGCAGACGTTGCCGCACTTTCATTTGCACTGCTTTTACTTTGCGGTATATAAATTTACAATATTTATACCAAGTTTTTAAAGCGTAAAAGAGTATAATGGAGCAGTCAGATGCCAACTACTATTTAGTTTAAAATATGAATAAAAGCCATTTATTTTAACAAATTATCAAGCGCGGTGAAATTTATATCTTAAAAACAACAAATAGTATAAATTTTGTATTTAGTAGAAGCAAGATTGGTTAAATAATTTTCTTAGAAGTTGTGAACAAGTTGAAACAACAGCATGCATCTTAAGATTTGATTAGTCCATAATTTGACCCACTCCTATGCCAGGTCAAGAGTATCTGGTATTCGGGAGCCACCGACTTAATTCTTACCTGTTTTATATATTCGCTTATGCAACAGCCGATGACCCCACATTGTGCATTCTGCGTAAAGTTACAGGTCAAGTATTCTTTTTTATTTTTTACTTTGTCTCGCTTCATTTTCGCACACTGACGTTGTATTTTAACGTGTGCGCATATTTATGGGCAAACTTTGCTGAAAGTTTAATTTTAAAAAATGCATCGCTCTGACTTTGTCCAGTTTCTCTAACATGAAACGAGCTGGTCAAAAAAATTAAATCAAATAAATTCGGTTTCTTTTGCTGTTAGTTTTGCGCATGCCACTCAATTTATAGGCACTTGGTCCAGAATTGTTCGACTGCATTTAATTACCCGCGAGCCGTTGAACATTGCTTTTAATTGTTTTGTTTTTCGTAACTCACATTTCATTCCGCTGCCAATTTGCATTTTGAGCACTTTCCCTGCCGCCATTTGGCAGCTGAAATTAGCCGCAGCACTTAAAGTTTGCTCTACAGCTGCTGCTATCGTAAAAATTTAGTCGACACCATTTTTAAGACTTAATATAATATTTAAGATGTACCCCTATTTAAAATGTGAAGTGGTTTTAACACTTTGCCAAAGCAAACTTTATGGCTCTGCCGTGTCTAATAAAGCTTATATGCAAGTATATATATATATATATATGGGAGCTACACAACCAACATATACAACATTAAATACACGCACACAATCACATATAATAATCAACAGTCACACAACCGAGCTACACTCGGAGAACACACTACGAAGATAAATGCGGTCTTGCAATCGACTTTGCTTAAACTGAAAAGTCAACTTGTTGAAGTGTTTACTGTTTGAAATTCCACCGCGCTGCCATCTAAGTACACAAGACATTATCCAAATAGGCAAAAAGCAAATAGATGCTCTGAACTGAGTAAACTCATCAAGCTTTATCTAGCCACCTAGCGTAAGCCAGGTACAGAGCCTGCCGCCGTCTCGTTATACATATTATTTTATAACTTGTAAAAGGGGTTAAATAATAGCTTATAGAGCAGTGCGTAGGCACGTCTGAAGCAGAAGCAGGTGTGGGCATCTCAGCATTGAGACAATAAAGAAAAGACAAGTGGAACTTTCCTCTTGACCAAAACTATTTAGTTTTTTATAGACTCAAAGTTTTGGCAACACCTTTTTTAACCTCTGAGCCTCTGCGCTGTGTGTGAACCATGATCACAAAAAATATGCATTTTTCAAGTACTAAAAATTGAGATGATGTATTGCATATGGATTAATAAAATTGAAACTATCCATTAAACAGAAGAATGACATATTTACGTGGGCTTGCAGTCATCTTCCACTAGCAAACAGACATCGGAATAGTTGATTTTTTCGAGTTCGGCATAGATG